ACTCTTTCTGAAGTTAGAATGAAAGATGTAGAGGAGAATAAGTGGTTTCTTTACCCTGAAAATTCATTTGTGTTAGCTTTTTACTGTTCAAGTAGACTTCAACCTGGAGATGTTATAATCAATAACTTTTTCAAAGTGTATATCAAAAGCTGCAGCCCACATTCTGTTAGCTAGGAGGTTTGGAAGTGAGGCTTTTAGGGATACTGCAATTTTATTCCTGTCTTACATTTTAATAGCTACCCCTGAAGAGGAAGAATTAGTATTTATGGGCTGTGCCTGTAGGTTTGTGTTGTGATGACATCCTGCTGTCTGGTTTTGTTTCTTTTGAGAGCCTCTTTAAACAAAGCTATCAACCCCCTTCCTTTTCACCCTTCAGCAGTGTACTGATGTTTTTGTGTAGACGCTCCACTCGCTGTAGGTGTTGCTAGTTGGTACTTAATGTTCCTGCTAACTGATGTGCTTGGTATACTTTTGCTTAACACTTTGAAACTGAGCATCTCATATTACAATTGATGTTGCAGCTCCAAAAATGCATTAGTAGCTACAGTGTGTACTCTTAATTCTCAACAGGAAAAGGATTTAATACAAGACTTCTGTTTGTTTTCATGTTTGCTTTTTAACTAGGTGTATGTGATCCCTATCCATTTGAACTTGTTGACAAGCAGACTCAATATTCAATTGTTAGTCTGTTCAGACTTAGGGAGTGGAAAGCCTCTTAGTGTGATGGATTGTGTAGTACTCAGTGAAACTTATGTAATATAGTTATCAGTAGAGATATAGGGTTGAAGTGGCTGTTAGAGCTTGCTGAATGAGCTGGAGCTTATAGCTTGCCAGCAGTTGTTAAGATTTGGTTTGTGTCATGAAGTAAAAAAAAAAATAATTATTTTTTTTTCTGAGCATGTTGTTTGCTTTGAACAGAAAGCTAGACATTGCATGCATGCCCTCTGTAACTTCTGGCTGAATGAGCACATTAATACTGTTTACTTCTCTCTGTTTAGCTCTTCTCACTCCTGATATTGGATATTCCACTTCCAGGTAGTCCAGCAACCATCAGGAACTGTTGTAAAGCAGGTATCCACACTCCCACAACCCTCAATACAGACCCTACAGACACCTGCTGAGAAGAGGATGCCACTGAATACACTTGTTCAAACTAGCCAGTTCCCTGCAGGTACAGTGGAACCTCTTTAATGGAGAATGGGGAGGACTGCTGAGGTATAGAAATGTATGCAGGCTATTGGTAGATTATAGGAATGTTACAAGTTGGTTGTCTGTTGAGGGGAACTAGCTCTGTGCAATAAGCTGGACATTTTTAGTTTATGTTTGGAATTCTGATAAGAAACTCAGTGCCATGTCTACTCCTGGCACCTTCTAAAAACATGTCAGTTAAACGTTGTATTTATTATAATATTGCAAGTATTATTCAGTAAACTTCCTTTAAATCATGATGTTGTTCAGAATCACTTCATGAAACCCACTCCAGTGGGTCCAGGTTGATGCATAATGTGAGTTTCTTAGCCAGCCAGTTTTCACTAAAACCTTTCAGTGGTCAGCACAGAGTAGGGTGTTTGAAGAGTGTTTTTTTGCCATTAAGAACATGCAGAATGTAAGACTCCAGAGTATCATCTAGTTTTCAAATGGGCCTAACTAATTGTTACTGGGCCTGCAGTTGCCTTTGCTGGAGGTGTGAACTGATTTAAGAATTGTCTTACAATTTTGGTTTTGACAATATTCTTTGTTTTGTTGTAGGTTCCATTCTGAAACAGATTACCCTGCCAGGACATAAAATTCTGTCGCTTCAAGCATCTCCTGTTCAGAAAGCTAAAATAAAAGAGAATGGAGCAACCTCCTTCAGGTAAAAATAAACAATATCAGATGTTTACTAAAGGAAGGAACAAAAGGAACCAACAGCACATATAGAGGCGGGAATAGAGCCCAAATAAAAGCAACTTTCTTTAGAGACTTGTTTTTGATAATTGGCAAGGGGGAACCTGAATGTATTTTACATTGTAGGAGATGTTAATTATTCTTAATTTTAAAAGACTGTCCTGATGAGGTTGGATTTTCATCATGCTATCAGAAGAGTGTAATTATACAAACAATGAGCATCAATATATGTCAGTCTTTCACTTGTAGAGGAGGCATGTTGATCTCAATTCTGTAAGTACTAGTAACTAATCTAAAGCAAAGTTACCTTGTATTAGAAGCTCTCCATAGGATTAAGGCATATATAACCTGTTTTTTACAGACCACCAGATGGCATAGAACTTCACTATGTACTGGCTGGTAACCTGTCTAATGCTCTGTGCTGTATTACAAAATCTTTTATTAGCTCCTCTTATGAGCTTGTTCCTGTATGTAGAGGTGAAAGTTTTTGACTTCCACCTCTAATTATGGCTTCTGGCATATTCTCTAGGCCTTTAGATTACAAGAAGGCTTAAAGCTTTTAGTTCTGGTAACTGACTTAACTTTTCAAAAGCAGAAATAATTTTTGTATCTCTGAAATAAGATGGTGAAACAGAGGTACAGACTGCATGACTGGTTTTATGACCTTAAGGCAAGCTTGAAGTTATTCTTCCAGAGTTCAAAGCAGACATGACAGCTTTGTCTTGTTGACCAGTTGACGTCTTACCTCTTGAAAGCTACAGCTTCGTGTGCGCTGATATCCACAGAGAGCTGTTGTTGTTTACAGTAAGGTACAGTGTACACTGAGGACTTAAAACACTAGTAGCCAAAAGTTGAAATATAAAGCTGATGAGTCTGTTCAACTCTCTCAAGCTCTTATGAAATATACATAAAAATATAATTTGGGAGATACTTTTGTTTGGAGATGTTTGCAAAAATCACTTAATAAATACAATTTAAAAATATCTCAGCAAAACAACAAGTATGACCACAAAACAGCCTAGAAACACATTTTTTGTGATCTTCCAATCAGAATATATCAACTGTCTTACATTTAAAAGTTTGAATGCTCTATGTTCTCTCCCTGAATTAAGTTCTCAGTGTAGGAAAAACTGTCTCTACAGTGCGATCCAGGATGGATTTCTGTTCCTGCTTTTGGATTATGATTTTCAAAGTAGTGTAAATCCATGATAATTCAGATTTCAAATCTCTAGCTCACCTCAAATTTTTCTAGTAAGTCTCTTCTCTAAAGAATGTATCCTTTTGGATATATCCCTGATGCTAACCAAACTATCTGATGTATGAGAATTTTTATCTCTCTTAACCTGGGCAGTGCACACCTGAACTTTTGGCTTTCTTGGGTCAAGCATCAGTGTTCTCCAAGCAGATCTAGCATCACATAATGTTAATCTGGCTTGGGCAATAGATGTTCCTTGCTCTCCTCTGGCCTGACTTCTGTTACTCCCAGCACAGCTGTCCTTTGACCTGTGATCCATCAACTGGCTGATCATGGGTGAGGCAGAGAGAAGTACCATGGCCCACTTTCAGGTTTTTTGATGAGATTCGTATTAGGCAGAGAGCATGTCTTGTGGTTGGTGTGACTGTATATATGACACTTCAAACTGTGGCTTCTATTGTAGTATATCATCAAGCTTGACTGCCATTGGGTTGTTAAGTTAGTTAAGTTAAGATGTGAGAATGTAATACTCACTAAGCTGTACTTAAGCTGCAATTTGACCTTCTCTGCTCTTTAATTGGCTGGTTTTGTTGCTTGAGATAAGCAATGGAAAATAAGGTGATGCCAACCTCCAAATTAAAAACAAATAAACAAAAAACTTAGGAATTAGAAGATTTCAGCTAAGCATGAGCATTGCTGGCACTTGATTGCCCCATGGCATGTATTATAAAGGGCAGTCTACTTTAAAATCATGAAGATTTTTATAAACTACTCTGCACACTTGTGTAGAGTATGTGCTAGAGCACTGTGTAAAAATAAGACATGTATTTGAATCTTCATTTTTTATTTTTTTGCATATATTTTATTTAATAGCGTTGTTCTCCAAAGCACATAAAGCTCTGACTTGTGGTTTTTGTTTGAAAGGTCAATGAGCAGCCAAACAGGAGATAGCTGAGTGGAAAACATCTGGGCAGCTGCTCCTCCTGCCCCTCAGTGGTCAGGAGTGCTGGTGGTTCTTGCTCCACTGAAATTGTTCTGTCCCACGTAGTTGTCCATGGTGGTGCGTGGAGGTTTGGGTTAAGTGTGTCTTTCTAGTTTTCACTTCAACAGTTGCATAAAGTGGAGTAAATGAGAATGTGTTCTGAAGAAAACATGTTGGTGGAACACCAGAGGGTGCCACAGACTCACTTTTCAGCCAAAACAGGCAAACTCTTAGGTGTGAGGTGCATGTGCGTTGCTTGAGCTTCTTTTCCAATGTAATATTCAGTGTAGGTGTCAAACCTGACTTCATGCAGAGTAATGCTCAGAACTCTTGAGGTTTGTATTTCCCCCTTGTCTAGATAAGCTTAAATCACTGGAGACTTGTAACAGCTGGGAGATTTTTTCTTGTTGATTTCAGGGTGTTATATGGTCAAATACAAAGCATTATATGATGTAATGTAGAAAAGGGGCTTTACAGAGGAATTGCTGAAAACAAAAGCAAGTTCATTTCTGACAGAAACATCTGCATGTGTACTTTGGAATATTTTAAACTTACTACTTTAATTGAGTGATTTTTATAGCTCACCCAAAGTACATGATATCTTAAAATTACTGAAGTTTGTTTGAACAGCAAGGAAAGAAGAATAGTAAAAACTACAAACTTAACATGGCTTCTGAAATTTATATTAAACTTTGATGAGACTACTTCCACGGAAATATAAGTATAATTTCTTTGGGTTAAGTAAAGTAACTGCAGCAGTCTTTTCATAGGTGAAAATCAATCTTTCATCAAGGCTAGTGGCAAATAAGTTGGAAAAAATAGTACAGGTAGCCATGTCTACTTGCATATAAGCTCTTGTATGTGTGTACTCATTAGAGAGACTGTGTCCTTAGAAATGTTAAAGAAAATAGTAACCTGAGGAAGGTTGGTTTTAGAGAACTTAAACTTCTGTATGTAGAAAGGTAGATAGCTGTATAATATAGAAGTTTTCCTCCTTGCTTGAGTATCTGGACTATGAGGCCACATTAAAAGCTAAAATTACTTACTGAAACTGCATGTTGTACAGTTTTACCTGAGGCACAAGCATCCTTACTTGGATTCCACTGTTCATCATGTTTAAGAATTTGTGATAGTCCTGTGAAGTTCTGGCTAACTGGAAAAGGGGAAACGTAACCACCATTTGCAAAAAGGAAAATTCTCAATCTGGAGAAGAGAAGGCTCTGGGGAGACCTTATAGCAGCCTTCCAGTACCTGAAGGGGCCTGCAGTAAAGATGGGGACCTTTTACAAGAGCTTGTAGTAATGGGGCAAAGGGAGATGGTTTTAAACTGGAAGAGGGTAGATTTAGATTAGGAAGAAATTATTTCTTGAGAGGGTGGTGAGGCAGCAGAAGAGGTTGCCCAGGGAAGTTGTCACTGCCCTTCCCTGGAAGTGTTCAAGGCCAGGCTGGATGGGGCTTTGAGCAACCTTGATCTAGTGGAAGCTGTCCCTGCCCATGCTGGGGGGGTAGAATTAAATCATCTTTAAGGTGCCTTCCAACCCAAACCATTCTGTGATTCTATAAACATCTCCATTGGGGTAATTTCAGCTTCCAGCATCTCCAGCTCTGATACTTGTGATATATGTTCTTGATGCTAGTTCTGATGATTTTATTGTCTCCTTTATCTGCAGATCCTGCACTAGGGTGGAATTCTTGTCTGCCACCAGCAAAGACATCTCTGTAGGGATCATTAAGAAGAGAAAACTGGAGTGTACTTGTGAGGATCTGTTAGCACTCAATTAGCATGCAGTGAAGCTTCATTTACACACTTCTTGAAAGATCAGGGTCTCTGTTAGGCTGATAGAGCATGAGTATGCACTTGGAACTGTGTGGTTGCTGATTGTGAAGGGATAAGGAGGAGTAAAGCTGTTCTGGCAGCAATGACTTCAGCTTTGAGTTGTAACTGTGGTCACTTAAACATTCCAACAATCCTAGGATTTACAGAATCACAGAATCAAGCTTTTCTTAGCATGATGGGTTTGGGGCACAAGCCTAGTCAGGAGGCTGTGTCTAGATAGAATTAATGAAGCTGCTTTGAGAATCTGTTGGGTCTCCTTTTCCCAGAACAAATCACATAGAAACTTTTAGCCATAAGGACATGGAAACGAATGAGAGGAGGAGTAGGGGAAGCCTGGACTCCTTTCCTAGACAGGCTTCTCTAGAAGTTTGTGGGAGAAGATTAACACCATTGAAACCCATTGAGGCTGTTCTACAGAAGCATAGCATCCTCCCTGCTATGTACATGAGTACTGTGTAGTAGGGCTAATTGAAAGGGCAAGGGTGGAGCCTGAGTACTACTGACAAGGGTTGTTTGTATCTTACTTTTTAAGGGAATTCGCCAAAAGTAAAGTGTAGATCATGTGTTCTAATACACTTCTGCTATAAGCATATTAGAAAATGAGCTTGTTTGTAAGTTCAATGACTCAGTATTCGACTGTATTCAAGACTTGATTCTATCTTGCGAATTAAGAGTTTTAAAACAAATTTAAGGGTATCAGAGTGGTGCTGCAGGGTGGGAGCATTCTTAGGACTTTTAGTCCAGGTTTACTTAATTCCTTGGTTTCCAAGCTTGTTCAAAATTTCAGTTTCATGTAAAGGATTTTCACGCCTAGCAACTGAGGCATTAAGCAAGCTAACATTTGAGAACTATTCCACTGAAGTGTGAAAGCTTTTAGGAGCTGACTGTGCCAGTCCAAACCCACGCTAAACATCTATTGTATTAGGGGTAGCCTCCAAGATGCCTGAATGTGGCTCTTTGTTGATAGTGGAGAGGCTATTTCTTTGTATCCATTCTGAATGAAATGTTGAAATAAAATGTTGGTTTTCTCTTTAGTAGGGAGGAAGATGAGATAAATGATGTGACTTCTATGGCTGGGGTCAATCTTAAGGAGGAGAATGCATGCATTTGGGCAACAAACTCTGAGCTTATTGGTACAGTGATCCACTCCTGTGCAGATGAACCTTTTCTCTTCCCCGAAGCACTTCAGAAGAAGATCTTGAACATAGGTGAGAACAAAGCATATGTAACAGATAAGTATGGATGTAGTATTTCCTTGCCTGTTTCATCAGTCAGCCTTGAACTTTTGAAGAAGCTGAACCTATTAAGATCAGACATCTCAATTCATGTATTTCTACCAAATTATTATGAGTTTTTACTTCCCCTTCTATGAAACAACTGTATTCTAAGTTTTGTTATGTGGTAATAGTCTGAAGCACTACCAGAAAAAAGAAACGGGTGCCACTTTTACATGTGAGAACTGACCAACTTTATTTCTCTTGCAGTTAATGGGTCGCATAACAACAATATAGGTGCTAGTGTCAAATCAAACACTTACGCTTTTCTGTTTCTGCAGCTCTTAACTCAGTTCATTACAGGGACTCTCCTCATAGCTTTTACATTCTTTGACCTGTTCAGATATATGTACTCTAATGAACAGCATTTAAGATCTGCCCATGTGATTAGGAAGACGTTTCAAACTGCCGATATGCACAGGGCAGAGCTTTGTTTATGTATCTCTCTATGGAAAATCTTTCATTAATTTTACGCAAAAGACATCTTAAAGCTGTTTCTATCCATGACTAATACTGTGGAATGTATATCTCAGTTGAATGGCTGAGGCTGAACTGTAAGAAGAGGTTTTTAGTATATGTATCATCTCAGCTGTTAGTTTCAGAGCAAAATAACTGCTGCTTAGCAGTGTTGTGTTATGTCAGAGCAGGGAGCATGCATTTGTATAGCACCACAGTGATTGGTACCACTGCTGTCTAAGCAAACTGGATGAATGTTGCTCAACTCTTTGCTCCTGCTTTCTGCCTTGGTAGGTTGTAGTACTGGAACAGTGAGTTTTACAGCTGAGCATTCAGGAAAGCCTGCAGTTCATGCATGTATTCATAATTCTGTCACAGTGGTTTAACTACATGATCTCGAAGTCTTTCTACATGCAGCTTGTTCTTAGTTCAAACAAAGCAGCTAGCCTGTGATGAGTATAACCTGCAACTGCTATCTGCTGCCTCAGTGCATCCTGCTCCATGTAGCCAGATGTGCTGTCTGAGCTGTGTGGGGCATAGTTGAAAAAGGGAAATGGGCGCTGAAACTGGTGCCTAGAAGCTTTTCTGAAAATTCAGCAGAGGGTTTCCCAGTCATCCAAGGGAAGCAGATACAAGGTAAAATAGAGCTCTTCAAAAAACAGAGTACTTCTAGATTAATTGTCTGGTTTTGGGTGTGAATACAATTCATTGAAAGATACAAAATACAAGCCTGGGTGTTTCATGGCTGGCATTGTAGCTGTGCCACTATGATTATTATTATTATTATTAATTATTATTATTAATCGTCAATTCGTGTAATAAATGAAAAGTGTTTGGATTGCAAGGAGAGGAACACTCTCAGGGAGTATAGCAGTTCAGAAGTTAACACTTCTGCTCTTGAACAAAGCCCTCTTTGTTTTAGGAAGTTTGTGTGTGTGTGTTGGAAGATCTTTGGATTTAGGGGGGTTTTGTTTTCTTTTTAGGTTGACATTTCAGTGTTCTCTTAGTACAGCAGGAAACTGCTGAGGAAATGTTGAAAAGTGCTTGAGGAAAATGAGTTTGCATTCAGCTAAGGCACAGGCCAAGATCCATCAGTGGGATTGTATCTGGGAAAACATTATAGATTATCCCTGTCTTGTGAGATTGTTATTAATTTTCAGTTAGAGCAGCAAAGGTGAATGAAATAGGTGATTAGTTTTTTACAGTGTACTGTTTATCCATTCTTAACACTCCACTTGGCAGTAAATACCAAAATGGGTTTTGAAGGTGTGCTGTATATTGCATCATAAAGTATTACAGCTTCTGTAAATGCAGCGATGGGCAAGGAAAAGCGCTTCTGACAGGTATGGTGTGTGAAGCGTGTGAAACTGCTGCCTGCCGTGCCTAGCAGGGGAAAGTTCTGCTGTCCAGGTGTCTTCATGGAGTTGCATTGAGTGATTGATGGTGTCAAGCACGGGAAGTCTTCTCCCATCAACAGCCTGTAGCCACAGGAAGGTTGCAGAGGTGATGCCCAGCTCTAGGCATGGAGCTGGGACAGCCTTGCCTGGAGCTGTCGCCAGCCTCGGTTGCAGCTGCTGAAACGCAGAGAGGCAGCGGCAGCCCTGCAGAAAAGGTTGAAGGTGGTGGCACAATGACCCTGGCTAGACTTGATCTGTTCTGTCTGTGGGATGGTTGGGTCTGTCTGCCCCGTGCCAGTTGATTGAGGCAGGTGAGAGGGTCCTGTGTGCCTGGAGTGTGCCGCAAAAACCATCCCTGCTCATCAAATAAATGTCATGAGTTGTTAACAAGCACGGTGTCAAGCAGGGCAAAATGTAATTCTCTATTTTTTTTTAATTACTGGAATTAACAGAATATGGCACTAATTCCTACAGCTACCACTTCTCCCACTCCCTGAACATGAAGCTGGATTTGTGTTCTTATTAACTTTGTCCTATAAATGACCTTGCAAGGAGAGTGGTTCTGGAGGCTAAGTGAAACAATGTCTATATTTTCTGAAGCTCCAGGCTAAGTTTTATTAATGTAATGTCTAAGATCTTTGAAGTTGTGACTTTACCAGGAAAATCATAATCTCCAAACCTTTATTCATAATGGGTATGACTTCCAGGGGGAACAGAATACCTGCTGTGCTAATTATTTCAATTATCAGCTGCTGCTAAAACACGTAATGGATTTTCTCTGCTTCCACAGGTAGAAGGCATGACATTATGGAACTTAACTCTGATGTTGTGAACTTGATCTCCCATGCTACACAGGAGAGATTACGAGGGCTCCTAGAAAAACTAACTGTAATTGCTCAGCACAGGGTATCAACCCACAAGGTAAAGGAAGTCAAGTTTTTGCACCAAAGTTTTCCTGCTTTGCAGCCTTGAAGGTAAACCTCTTCCAAGGATAGGTACATCATATGCAATATGTGCATTTTCAGTATCTACCAAAGGTTGGTTTTGTTTTAACTGTTTATAGCCTCTAACTATTCCTTATATTTTCAATTCAACTTGTTGGATAAGTGTTCTTGAAACCTAGCGTAAGAGTAAATGCATATGTTTCTCCTCTTCCGTGGAAGTGGTGGCTGTTGCACAATACATGGTAAATGTGAAGCTGTTTTTTAATTATTTTGGTGGTCAGGGTGATTTAGGAGCTTATTTCCTTTATGCATTTAGTGTTGGTGGAACTGCAGTATTGGCTCAGTAAAAAGCCTTGGGAATCTGAATTGAGTATTTTATTTTGGAAGGTGCTCCATGTGAAGGCAGAGACCCCTTAGGTCTTAAAGCTTCCAAAACTTTTTTCCACCATTGCTACTTAAGATTTCCCCTTGTATTAGTTCCATCCAATGTAAAGGGTATTGGCTTCCAGTGATCCAGTATCCCTTAAGATGGTTGTATGGTACCAATGGGAAACAGTAAGTTACTAGTGATCAAAATAGCTCTTCAAGGCTTTTTTTTTTTTTAATCATTCCATTGTAAGATATTAGTTCGTACTTTTTTTCAGTATCAAGCTGTTCTAGAAGGCTGGAAGTTAGAAGCAAATTTATCTGTCAGCTCTTAGGGTCTTGGCTGTTTGGTTTTTTGGGGGGTTGGTTTTTTATTTTGTTTCTTTTTTTACATAAACTTTATACTTAAAAAAATTCAACATGAGCAACTAACTGATGGGATAGGAGTTGGTTTTGTACTGAAGAATTTTTATAAGCTTTTAAGAACTGCAGAAGCAATAGTAAAGATCAGGGACTATTTGGAAACTTCCAAGTATTCATAGTGATGTCTGGAGCAGTTAGAGTATGCTGTTCCTTGCCAGAAGAAGATGCAGTAGGAAAAGAAACAATACTGAATAAGTATAGAGTTCAGAAATCTGTTCTGTATTGTCCCTCCAAAGTGGGAGATCTGATAGAGCTCATGAGTGAAAATGAATTGGAAGCTGAAGTCCTGAGTAAGCTGCAGGGCTTAGTGACTTGCAGCCACCAAGGACACAAGGCAATGTTTTTGGACAGTGATAGGGCTGATTTCTTTCTCATTGAACTAGAGCAATAGAAAACTTGCAGGTTTTTGTTTGATTGATTTGCCAGAAGCAGTGGTAAGATTGTAAGACTGTAATAAGCTTTCTTTCTTTTCCTCTTTGTCTGAAAAACCAAGCAAACAAGGAAGTAATGGGCATAATAATCCTAGAGGATTGGTGTACCTCTATGTTCAATACACTACAGAGGAGTGTCCTACAGGATTGCAAGTAATATTCTTGTAAGAGATGCTGACAGACGTTTAGAAATGTAAATTCAAGAACAGAACACTACAGGGTTTTGGAGTCTATTTTCCCTCTAGCTTATCAATAAGTACCAGTGTGCAATATGGGCTCCATGTATTGCAGAGAATTATCCAGAGCCTTTTCAAGAGGACTAGGTAATTGCCCTGTAAGGCTTTGTATTGGCCCATCTTCATTACAAAAAGACAGACAGTAATGGGGTTAGGTGTGATGACTAGATTGCAAGGTAACTATTATTAGGGTAGAATTGGTGCAAAAAGCTAGTAATTCATGGGATCATATTCAGGGAACTATTCTTCCTAGTTTGCTCATCTCATGCCTAGCAGTTTACATCTGATGGGTGGCCCTGCAGAGAAAGAGAGTTGGCAGGGTAATAACCATGCCACCACGTAGACTTGCCAACTTTTAGCCCTTCTTTTTTGCTAAATTTAAGAAAATGAATAGGTATATAATTGGAAGTTACTACCTTAATTAGGATAAAACTGTCATGGTGGTCTCCTTATCTGAAGCAGGAATAACCTTTCAGATTGTTGTAAGCTGCTCTCTGTGCTGTGACTCTTGTTGCAGTGAGCCTTGGTAAGACCGTAAAGGCAATTAGCTAACTGGTTTGGTTCCTCAGCTGCTTCCCTCCCATAATCTGGAGAACTGCTGACATACAAGAGTATGCATGTGACATAGTATGGTACCTAAGACCTGAATTAATAATGACAACTAAACACTGCAGTGATTAGAAAAATGTTTTGAGGAGGGTGGACTCAGTGCAGTGTGGGGTGGCTGCTGTGCTCCTATATTTTGAAGCCCATGAGCACATGTCTTGGAGAGCCATTGCATAGTGCTGTGCTATAAACTTTGCTCCATGAAAACATTTTCCCATGTGCAGTAGCAGTAAAACACTGCAGTCCTAAACTGCACTGTCTGTAGGGCGATACGGTGTGGCAGCTGCATTGGTTTAAGGGATAAGCTCTAAATGCAGCAAAGGAGTGGAAAGAGT